CGACAATGCACTTACGACGCCTTGCTGTAGCAAGCTAGTTTGTGTGCCATGTGTTTGGGAGCACCTCAGCACTACGCGTACCTGCCCTTCTTGCATGTGTGACATGTATGCATCTGGAATGAGAAAGTTGTCATCATTTGAGCTGGAATGTCTTTCTCATCTGCCAGTGAGGTGTGACAATTACGTGTCCTCTCTTTCTGGCTGCCAGCACAGCATGAAACTGTTCTCATTGCAGACGCATATGAAGGTCTGTCCTTTCAATGCATACAGTGGCCCTGCCTGTGTGACCAGGTCGACTACTGTCGCAGATGTATTGACAGCGTCACCCAGCAAGCTTCGTGGGGAGGCAGCGGAGCATTTGACTACCCACTTGGTACAGTCAAAGTCCACTGATGGTAGGCTAGAGTTACGGACGGGTGGTACCCCTGCTTTGTATGTGCGTACAACGCAAGGTGGCAGTGCTGCTGTGTCTGTAAGGCAGATGCAGAGGAGGTCGGCAGAAATCCGACAGGCGAAAGAGGTAGTCTGTGGGGGCACTGTTGGTGTCGGTAAGCAAGATGCCTATGAGCTGCGTAGTATGGGTCAGATAGACCGTGAAAATTTGCTTAAATCTGCCGGTGTGTCTCCTTGTGCACCTTCATCTCATTCTGCCCTTGCTTTAAAAGCAGATCTGCACATGCCTTGGAACCAGCTGAGGAAACTGCGGAGGTGGCTCAAGTCCTTTGGGTGTGAGATTGAGTCGGAGAACACCATGCGGCAGCAGCTTGCGGCAGAGGTACCTGCATTTTATGCTTCCGAAATGTGCCCTTTCACTCTTCCGGGTGGTGATGTAGTTTCGTCACCAATGGTTGTGGCATGCAACCTCACAGAGATTGTCCTTTTCTTCTTGGACCAGTACGAGGAGGCTGGTATGCTTACCGACCATGGTGTTATCCCGCAGGATGAGATTTGGGTGAAGTTAGGGGGAGATCATGGGGGCGGGTCTTTCAAATTATCCTTCCAGGTTTGCAACATTCCTCACCCAAATGCTGTGAAAAACACCATCCCTATCCTTGTGTTCAATGCAAAAGATACCCCGGGCAACCTTTCCACTGCTTTTGCGTCACTTGTACAACACATTGACAGCCTTGCTGCAACCACATGGCAGAACAAGTCGTTTCGCCTTATTTTGTTTGGCGACTACGAGTTTCAAACGACTGTTTATGGCCTGTCAGGATCTGCAGGAGTGCATCCGTGTCTGCACTGCTTGAGTACAAAGCAACAGATACAACAGTGCCCCGCTGATTGGGAGCAGCAGCCAGAGCCACGCACGCTCGACACACTCTCACTTCACCATGGCCAATTTATGGCTGACGGTGGGCGCTTATCCAAAGCAAAGCATTTCTACAATGCCATACGTCCTGCTATGCTCTCTGTTCCTATTGATCATGTGTGCCTGCCAGCCTTACATCTTGATCTCGGAATCTATTTATGGGTCTTTGACTCCTTTGTCAAGGAGTGTAAGCACATTGATTTGAAAATGGCATGCGAGGTAGAAGTGAGTGAGGCAGATTCAGCTGCCTTTAAAAAGCTGATAGAAGATCAGAAAGAATGTAAGAAAAAAAGATTAGAACTGGAAGAAAAATCTAGTCAGCTTGCTGTCTTGACTGGCCAGATGCAATGGGTTGCTCTCCATTTTGGCAATCCGGAGCAGCAAAACAACCTCCAGGCTTTGGTTGGTAACCTCCAGCATGCTGCCACGCAAATGCAGCAGCAGGTCACAGCTCTGCAGGGTGACATAAGAAAACACGAGCAGACCCTCACAAATGCAAAGCTCGACAACGGGCCTTGCAACCAGTATGTTGAGGCTGCTTTACAAAAGCACAACATCTGCCGGCAAGTGTACCATGGGGGTTCATTTATTGGCAACCATGTCCACCACGCGCTTACAGACTCCGTCATCACTGACTTGACCTCATTCATTGCAGTTGTTGAGAAGCGTGCACCCTCTCTGGCTGCTGATGCTTCAGCTGTATCCAGCAGATACAAGCTGTTGTTCCAACAATACGCAAAGTGTCACGTCGCATTTTCCGGAACTTCAGCAGTCTCAGCAGAAGTTTGCGACCAGCTGCAGAGCGATATCGACAAGTTTATGGTGTCAGTTCGTAGGGAGATTGTTCCTCGTAGCCTTGGCCGGGTTACTCCAAAGCTGCACCTTTTGGAGTGTCATGTAGTTCCGTTCATGCGGAAGTTCAAAGTAGGTCTTGGGTTGCTTGCTGAGCATGGGGCAGAATCCATTCACAAAGAGTTCAACACCCTTCTTCTCCGTCATGGTGGCATTGTAGATCCTCTACAAAGGCTTCGAGTCACTGTCCAGCAGCACCTTATCGCAGCTCTCCCCAGTTTACGACCTCTGGTCCCAGCTCCTCGCAAACGAAGTAGAAAGGAACAGTCCTGAAATACTTTGTTTGCTCAGTTCAATTTTCAGTGTAGTGCGTTGATCGCGGGTGGTTGGTGGGTGAGTTGGCGTCAGTTCAAGTAAACGAACTGCCTCCAGCTTGCTCGTGAGTAAAGAGCAGAAAACTAACAACGAACTGGACCACCTGCTATCGTCAGCAAAGGAGAACAGCTACAGCCAGGTAATGTATCCATTATCTTTCTCTATCGTTATTATTTTATTCAAATCAGCTTCACAGTTTGGCGATTTCGCTGCATCTCTCATTGATTTGGCATCAGTTCGATCTCACAAACTGTTCACAGCTGGCCGGCAAGACGACGCGCGAGGCCAGACAACACAGGTACACCGAACAGGGCCGACTATTATCAGGAGAGAATAAAACAATTCCTTCAAACTTCATCTTCTCACTCGATGGATTTTGAAAAATTCCTGTTCGAAGGTACGATCGCTTGGCCACGCTACCCCACGCGTACATGTTACCATGGCCTCTGACGTACAGTACGCGCGTGCATACAGCGCGTGCAGTGCAAAAAAATCGACGCCATTTTGCCTGATGTCGCACTCGAAACAGCCGTGGCCTGACAACTTTTTTGAAACCGTACGGTACGGTAGAGCAAAATTTGGTCACGTGGCCATAAGTTTTGACCCACCCAAATGTATGGTGATCCATCACAAATCTCAGTTGACAACGGATTCTTGCAAATTTTAGTGTCCTTGCCAAGTTTCAATCGGCTTTGGCCTCAAAGAAGTCAAAAACGGCGTGTTTAGGAGCCAGGCTGAGCTGTACTGACGATTCCATGGGGTGGGTCAAAACTTTTGGCCACCACTGTATATCGCCTATAGTGATCAAATTCAATTTTCAAAAGACCTCCACTACATTATTTTTTGCATCAGCTAAAGTAATTGATGTGAAATCAAGTGGTGTCAGAGGTGAACAGGAAGTTACTTCTTTGTGAAAAATTGGCAGAATTCGGTATTTTTCTGGTACGTTTCATGCATGTTTGGTATGTCACTATGTGGATAAAGAAACGGAGCAGAATTCGAGGAATTGCCCGCCATAAGGTTTGTATGGTCCTGCCAATTTCACTGCTTTTCGAGCATTATCCACCAATGCCTAGGTCACTGCAGTGGCATTGGTAGCACCGGCCATTGTAGTACATGTATGTGTATGATGTGTTACTGCTAATACTGGCAATGCTATCAGAACACTGACATCTGGGTACAGCACATGCCAGGACTACATACATGTACATGTACAATAATAATTATGTACAGATTCATGTGTCCAGGGGCGTAGCAGCCGGTCCGGCCCAAGCCAGGACCACTTTGTCGCCCAGAAGTGCCCAGAATGCAGGATTTTGCACCCTAATTTCAAAAATTTCCCGGGACACCCCCAGGCCTCCAACCGGACCACCTCCAACGGCGGTGCTAGCTGCAAAAAAAACCCATACAATCATGTAAACAAGACGAAAAATAATAATAATAATTCTTGTTTTTTGTAGTCACAACTGCGGCATGTATCATTGTATGCCGCTAGAACAGCGCTGTGTAGTGTATTATCACTCCCTTAGACTCACATAGATTTTTGCCATACCTAAGCAGTCAAATATTCCTGTATATTTGACTCCTTAGGGCTATATTGACCGCTTATATTTGACTCCTTTTTAGCGATTGAACACATGCTTTGGTCAGTCATGATAAATCTAATATTGACTTCGTACTTGGTCAGTATGAAATAAAAGACCTCGTAAAGACCTCGGCTTCGCCTCGGTCTTTTACTCGGCTTTTGTTTGACCTCGTACGCGTACAGTCAACTTCGCTAATAACGACTGCAGATATAACGACAATTCGCGAATAACGACAGAATTTCTAGGCCCAGAGCAAAGTACCATCCCACTGTAATACATTATAATGAGACTTCGGGTATAACGACACTTCGCGAATAAGGACACCTTTTTGATGCCCCGCCGAGTGTCGTTATAAGCGAAGTTGACTGACTCAGTCACACTGACCATGCTGACCGCACTGGCCAATGGCAAATGCTGTTGATTGTTGCTTCTGTACTGACTGCACCGTCTGGTCTGACTCTCATCTGTGTCACTCACCACGCGGCATGCTGATGCAGCATGCAGCTATTGCAGTGGCGGCAAGAGGAAGATCAAGGTCGGTAAATCTACATTGTACAAACAGAGTCAGTATCACATGGCCATAATTATGGTCAGCCTGTCAGTGCAGTGCGGTAACCAAGTACAGTACGTCAGTAGTGTGCTTCGCATAAACTGTAACTGACAGACTCGGAGATAATGATTGTGTGCAGTTTGTGAAACCACTTTCTTTTTGGCAAGTAAAGGCAAACAATATTAATTTCATTTAGGGACCTGGGTGGATCGATCAGCCTCAGAGGAAATCAGAAATGATCTACTCGCTGTGCTGCTGGCTGATTTAGGGTGGTCCACTCCTTGGCCTGTTATCGACTTGACTTTGAATCGGTCGGTAGAGATTTCAGCATCGTGCGACTGTAGCGAATCATGGAGCCATTGACAGGTACGGAAATATTTCTCTTGCGAGAGAGCAATATTCTACTAATATCCCTAGAACTCTGGACATGGACTTTCTATTTGTTACACATATCCCGTGTTGATGCTGAGAATCACGGCGCTGTCAAGTAATTTCGAGAGTATGTTGAGTGGTGCTTTAGCACGCATCGCTAGCGAACGAATCAGCTGATGGAGAAAGGCAGCTGGCGTGCAGACATTCGGCTGCGAGCGGATATTTTAGCGATACGATCTCTGTAAAACCAAGCTGATTTGTCGCCCCTGTGTGTGTGTGTGCATGGTGTGTGTATGCCTGGTGGTCACTGTGCCTGGAGTACTGTCATTCAGTCAGTTCAATGTTGTGGGTGGCTTGTGCTCGTTTATAGCTGTACCATTTTGCCCACAAAACTCGTAAGTCATTTGCGCTCCGCAAAGTAACACTTAGTTCAAGTCGGCTTGTTGTAGCCTGCTAGCTGTTGGCAGTGTTGCTCTTTCCAGCGCACTTGTTGTCTTCCGCCTAGTTGTCTGGGCGCACCGTCCATTCAGTGTATGAATGAATACCATCAACCTGAAATCGTGAATAATCGCGTTTACTAACAGTGACAGTAAGGGCGCTGCAATGTTGTTCCGTTGCCACATCAAACCTTATTCCAGTTTTCTTGTCAGCGAATAGAGGTGGAGTTGAAACGGGTGTTCTATCTGCTCGTCCACACGTTTACCGTGTCCGTGGCAGGGCGCGGACGCTTTGGAATATGTCTTCAGGAAGTTACGTTATATCTGTGATCAAATAATTGTGAAAAATTGTCCTCAGTTGGACAGGCTAGGATCTAGGAGTGGACTGAAGTGCTACGCGTTGCGATATTGTCGACAAGACACGGGACGCATCGAGACCTGTCAATCCTTGTTGTTCATAGCTTTAGTGACCGCTAGACGGACGCTGCGAAGACAAATTCGTCTACACGCCCGCCTGGATGTCAGTCTATTCCGCACTGCCTGTGTGCGTTTTGCTGGTGTAGCTTTGCCAGGGAGGTGACGGACACTAGGTCTGGTTGGCACAGAGAGAGAGAGAGAGAGCACAGGATTTCTACGCACGCACACAATTCGTTGAGTTCCAATAATTCCATCGCTATACTACTAGCCACCGCCACGCACTCCGTTGAAACCCGTGCTCGCCCGTACCGACTCTGATGGCTTCACCACGCCATCATAGGCTGAGGCGGCGTAGCAGCCTGCCCGAAAACGTACTTCTGGCCACCCCGCCTGCCGACAAGCCGCGGCATGGCAGCAGCAGCCTTGAAGTCAAAGTGTCGACGGTGGCTGGACAACACGAGAAGAACGGTGTGCCTCTCACCCGGACGGGCTCACTGAGACTCAAGGTTGAAGAGCCGGAATTGCCTGTGTGCAATGTCGGTTATGTTAACATGGATACCTGCCCCGTTGCTGCCGATCAGCACCACACTGTTAAAGATAACCTAGAGCGAGTGCATCCATTGGTCGAATCACCCTCAAAGTCACGGAACCAGCTGACGCGACGAGCGACGCTGTCGAGTTTGGCGAATAAGATTGGTGGGTTGACTTGGTTGCTGCAGCTTGATTTCGCGGCCGCCGGGTTGTGTTCATGGGTATTACAGTACTGATGCACACTACCATGATGTATTCCACGCACAGTGTGTGTGTGTGTGTGTGTGTGTGTGTGTGTGTGTGTGTGTGTGTGTGTGTGTGTGCGTGTGTGTGTGTGTGGTGTGTGTGGTGTGTGTGTGTGTGTGTGCATGTGTGTGCATCTGCATGTGTGTGTGCGTGTGCATGTGTGTGTGTGTGTGTGTGTGTGTGTGTGTGTGTGTGTGTACAATCTGGGCTCTTGGTCTGCTTGAAATATGACGGTGCACAGTGCGATAAATACATAGTGACCGTAGACTTTGAGGCAGCATGAGCTCTCCTAGCTTACCTGAGCTCATTGCCATTCTTTCTCTCACTCTCTCTCTCTCTGTCGTCATGCTCGTTTAGGTATTGGCAATGCCAATGGGCAAGCTGTGTCTGGAAAGCGGCAGTCGGGAGGTGGGACGCCCAGTTCCCTGCGTAGGCAGCTGGGGACTCAGCCGCCTGCACCGTCACCTGGTTAGTTGGGATATGTGTGCACATTTGGTTAGTTCCTCCGTCTTGTGGCCCGACCGATCCTCCTCTGCAATGCCCCCCCCCTCCCTCTCTCTTATTCCCTCTCTCTCGTATTCCCTCTTCTCTCTCTCTCTCTCTCTCTCTCTCTCTCTCTCTCTCTCCCTCCCTCCCTCCCTCCCTCCCTCCCTCCCTCCCTCCCTCCCTCCCTCCCTCCCTCCCTCCCTCCCTCCCTCCCTCCCTCCTCTCTCTCTCTCTCTCTCTCTCTCTCTCTCTCTCTCTCTCTCTCTCTCTCTCTCTCTCTCTCTCTCGCTCGCTCTCTCTCTCTCTCTCTCTCTCTCTCTCTCTCTCTCTCTCTCTCTCTCTCTCTCTCTCTCTCTCTCGCTCTCTCTCTCGCTCTCTCTCGCTCTCGCTCTCTCTCGCTCTCTCTCTCTCTCCCCAGCACTGCGGGGCGCATTCAATTAGCTTCTTCCATGGCGACCACAATCTGATATCTCGCAATCCTTCTCTATTCTATCTATCTCCATGTTCTCTCTGTTCCCTCGTCTGCAGGGCTCCGGCACATGCCGAACAAGATGATAAATCGTTTTCTCTCCAAGCGATCACCCGAGCCGCACGCGACCTCCAGTCCTGGAAGAGGCGACGGCGACTCAGTTTCCGACACGTCTCAGAATGAGTTCTCGATCAGATCGGAGGGGATGGCATCCAGCTACGAAAGCACGACGTCACAAGACGATGCTCTCCGGCCTCGTGCAAATTCTATCACCACTGCTCGTGATTCAATGCTGAAGGAGATCCGCAGCAAGGCACCTAAGCTAAAACTGTATGTAGCACGTGAATGTGTGTGTGCACCCATTTCAGACAACCAGCAGCATTCCAGCATGCTAGTTGTGGTGGCTATGCACGGTTGGGTGAGGGTATATGGGACTACAGGCCCACCGTGTGCAGGATGCTGTAAAACATTTTATTTTAGGTGCATTAAAATTTCGGTGCCAGGGATCTGCCAGGTTTCAGGTGTAATTTTGAATTAGGTGACCAGCGTTCCCTTCAGATACAGGTCACACTCTGGTGCCTTTTAGACGTAATTTAAATTTAGATGCCTGGTTTCTCTACCGAAATTAAAGTTACACCGAAAATTACATGTTTAACAGTAATGCACAATACTTCTGCTGTGGTGTGTGTGATGTGGTGTGTGTGTGTGATGTGGTGTGTGTGTGATGTGGTGTGTGTGTGTGTGTGATGTGGTGTGTGAACTATGTAGTTTCAGAATACACACTGATACCGGTGTAGCAGTAAGGATAGTTTGATTCTGCCCCGGGTTCAGTACGATCTATACCACATTGGGATGGTATTGCTGTACAAAGCATGAACCAGCATTGTCCATTTGTTCCCCAGTACAAATCCGCTCTTTCCCATTCATTCTGCAATATCGAGCTCTTTTATCAATCAGTTATGACGTTTTTATGTTTTGGTCGTTTGTGTGTGTGTGTCTGCGTCTGTGTCTGTGCGCACGCACGTGTGAAAGCACTTCTGACTTGTGTGAAGTTATCACCACATTGTTAATTTTGCACTTTTTGTTGCTGTTGTGGGTATCACACTTTTTGGTTTTATGGTTAGAACATGTCACAGTGGGTGCGATATAGCGCAGCACAGTTATGTATAACTACTGCTTTGCAAGCGTGCATATCATTGCATACCTGATGAGGGCAATTTGCCGAAACGTTGTAGTAACATTGATCAAGGAGTTTGATATTGCAGAGTGAATGGTAAAGAGCGGTCTGCTCTGAAACCTTTTCCTGCTTCTAGTCATGATACCAGTGTTTGTATCAAGCCAGCCTGGACCTGAACCGCTTCTATTCTTGATGGCATTCACATCATTATTTTCACCTTCAGGAAGAGTCAAACCAACAACCTGGATTTGAACCGCTTTTATTTTTGATGGCATGCAAATCATTATTTTCGCCTTCAGGAAGAGTCAGATGCGCCGCTCGGGCAATTCGTCTCAGCTCGCCGCCCCGCAGCGTCGAGAGCGTAGCAATAGCATTGGCTCGGCGGACAACCTGTCGGACAAGTCGGGCGCATCTGGTGATCAGCTGGTCGATGGTGGCAGCGGTGGTGGCGGTGGTCATCGCGAACATGACGACCCAATGGGCAGCTTGTCTGGTCAGGTAAGCTGTGTCTGCTTGATGGTTTACCACTGTACAATGTAGCGCAGTTTAGTGCAGTGCTGTGCACAGCTTCCGGAGCATCAGCCACACTTCTTTTTACATGTGTATTTTAAAATGAGTAAATGCCGCCCTGTCTCATAATGTCCTCATAGACATCCAGATGATGTTTTTAGTGGAGGGTGAAGGGAACGAATACAAGGGCAGGAAGGGGGGGGGGGGGGTGATGATGTCATTGAATATGGGGCTGCACTGCTGGCGTGATGGAACAGCCTTGGGTTATGTGCCACTGTCCACTGGTCTTAGCCAGTAGGTAGGTATTAGTCGTGGTGATGTCATGGTGATGTCATGGTGATTTCGTGGTGATGCCATGGTGATGTCATGGAAATTTCATAGCTCAGCATCCTGTCCTTTGTACTGCTAGAGCAGTAGGTGCGCAGTGCACACATCTCCTTTGTCAAGTACATGTACATGTAGTTACTTTGCCAGCTGGCGGAACCTAACTACGGCAGATTAACAGCACACACCGTAGTTTGCATGCACACAGCAGCTATATTTGATTTTGATTGTAATTAGATGTCGTCAGCATCCTTTGTAAGCCAACTCACCGATGGAAGACATTGGAGTGGTGATGAATGTGGGAACCAGTTACAGCAGCTTAAAATGGGAAGCTCTGCATGAAACAGTGTTATGCCTGTAGGCTCACATGACTGAGATTCTTCATAGGTCACATATAGAAATACCCGGGAAGGGTTTACACCTGCGGGTATTAGACTCACTCACTGTTAGTTCACATAACCTGAATTGTCACATATGTTTTAAGGGTAGCTTTCAACATTCCCTTCATTACCAGATCATGGCAGATGTTTAAGGGCAAGGATTTGATGCATGCATTATTTTGAAAAGTGAGAAGTTGGGCATGCGAGTTTGGGTTTTAAGTGGCAAGCAGTTTGTCGCTTGTTAGCAGATGCCCTTGGCTTGAGTGGTTGCAATCTGGATTGGATCGTTTGAAACCCCCCCCCCCACACACACACTCTCACAACACACACACACACACACACACACACACACACACACACACACACACACACACACACACACACACACACACACACACACGTATATGCACCAACCAGCCGGGAAAACCGCTTGGGAAGCTCTATCAATAGGATACGTGCATACACGTATATAGAATGTACGGCACATGAAATGAACAAAAGATCTTTGTCCTGGCCAGGGGTGATGAAGTGTGTTCGCAGGTGTTTTAACTTTTCACCTCACCCCATTTTGGCCCGAGAATGTCCCTCCTAGTAGTGATTCGCCGTGGGGCTTTCCCCCAGTAACTGTGAGTTGAGGGCTGGATTCGGGGAGGGACATGGAAGTTCAGTTGCCAACGGAACAAAAGATCCTGACAACCATTCATCGTGGGCCCATTGTATACGAGGCAATTTGTACCAGCCAATTGGGCCAGTTCCATGTCCTCATGCCCTGCTTAAAATAGCTCTAGCAGAATTGGGCTTGAAAAGGATTCATTCTGAGGCCTATCAGCATAGTGTATACGTGTGTGTAGAGTCATTTCTATGTCCCCCCTGCTCGGGGCTCGAAAATAGCTCTAGCAGATTTGGGGTAGAAAAGGATTCATCCTGAAGCCAATCAGCATTGTATGTAAGTGTATGTAGAGGGGTAGGGTGGGTGCTCTGAGCGAATATAGGTATGTAGACTGCACGGTGGCCTGTGTTGTAGCGCTGGGTGCTATATTAGTGCGTTGTGTGTCTTGGGCGGTATAACATGGGAACGTGTTTCTCACAGCTGTTTCTATTCCAGTGTACTATGGCGGGTGCTCCACGCCAAGCACTTCCATGGTGAATAGGTCTGGTTGAGTGTGTGTGTGTGTGTGTGTGTGTGTATGTGCGTGCGCGCGTGTGTGTGTGTGTGTGTGTGTGTGTGTGTGTGTGTGTGTGCAGGTGTGTGTGTGTGTGCGTGTGTGTGCGTGTGTGTGCGTGTGTGTGTGTGTGTGTGTGTGTGTGTGTGTGTGTGTGTGTGTGTGTGTGTGAGTAGGGGCATCATCCAGGCCATACATTCCATATGGTCACTGAAGTTTTATGATACTGCAGTATGGGAGCAAACGGTGACGATTGTGAATATCTCCCGAATACTGTATCCCAGCCTCCACAGACAATGACCATTCAATCCAGTGACCAGAGGACATTCTCAAATTTTGATTTTACCCCACCGTTCCCGGCCCTTGATCACTGGGTCATGGCGGGGTTTCCAGGCTTGGCTTAGCAATACCGTATATGTGTCAGTACAGAGGTAGGGAAAGCTGTACAATATTGCGTTGTGCTCTGCACACTGGATTATTTGTGCGGTTGTCTGGTTTGTTTCTGAAATGTCCTCACTGCTATTCTTGAAAGTTGGTATAGAATTTGATTATTTTTGTGAAGTGACATAATTGCCTGCTATGCTCCTCTGTTTACACAGCATCCGAGTGGTTTGGGCCCTGGAGATGAGACCGACTATCATGAGGTGGGTGACATGTCATGTCTGTCTACTCACAATGTTTTATTTGTTGATATGAAGTGTCATTGGGTTCTGGTTGCTTGTATTTCATAATACCCGAAAACTGGTTTGTGAATTTCTGAGTCTGAATTCATGATGATGATGATGATGGTGGTAGTGAAGAGCTTGGCATTTGTAGTTTTTCTTTCCTTGATATGAAGTTTGTTAAGGTCAATATGTTTGTCTTGTCATTATTTTGATTCACATGGTAAGCGAGACGTGACCCTGTTACACTGAGGTGGAATGCAGATACATGCACACGAGGTTAATTATGTTGCTGACTGCTGACTGAAGGTGCATGCCCTCCTTGTATCCTGTGGTATCTCGTCGATGCGGTCCGTGTCATGCTTTCGGGCAAGGAGGTGTTTTGCCACATCTCTCACCCTCCCCCTCACCTTACATTCAGACGACAGTAGAAACCTATCCATCAATGTCTCACTATTCACGTGTACTTGCATTGTCTGTATTGTTTTTTATTCTATTTCATTGTCCATGGGGTTACAGCGTGTACAGCAGCAGATTCGTCACTATGAGGAGAAACTGAAACAAGCTAGGCAGGAGCTGCAGACGCTGAAAGCCGGTAGGAGTGCTGGTAGTACTTTTTTTTGTTTTTTGAAACATGGCGCAGCACGAGCAATGATGACCGTAAAGTGGATAATTTTTTCGCGTGAAGTGAATCTTTGTCTGCTCATTCAAGCCATTCAGCAGATGTTGTGGACTCTGCAAAATGCTGATAAACTTCAACGCAAATTATATACTTCAAGTAAATATTTGTTCTAGCAATATTGCAATGAAGGCGGAAATGACCTCTACAAAGTCCAATCTGTCTTTACTATGTGCCTTAACTGAAGCCGATGCTTGCAAGTTGTGATGGGCAGGTTAAGTGATTGGCCCAGGTGTGTATACCTCGCAGGTATCTGGAACTGAGAAACACTCATATCTCAGTCCTCACTATTTCCCTACCCGCCGAGTCCCCAGCACACTTCCTACTAACCGTTTACTAATAGCTCATACTCCATACGCGCTTTGTCACCTTCACCTGCAGCTTACGTGGAAGAGTTGAGTCGAGAAAACGCGGCTGCAGAAGCCCAGAGCTCTGCTGGCGGAGCTTTCGGGGCCGAGTCTCGTAAAAAGACCACGTTTGAAGCCTACAACAAGCGCTACAAGGCCGAGGAGATGAAACTGCAGGAGAAAGTCACAAAGTATGAGGAAAAGCTCAGTCGGGTAAGCACATGTACATCATTGCTGGAGGTTATGGGTATTCATTCATACAAAGCTTTGGTAGGCTGGTGCATAACAATTTCTTCCGTTTATACTGATTCCTGTTTGTCTCTCTGACTTGAGTCTGTGCGGATGCAAGCGGGGACTTGCATCGTGTGTGTGTGTGTGTGTGTGTGTGTGTGTGTGTGTGTGTGTATGTGTGTGTGCGTGTGCGTGTCTGTCTGTCTGTCTGTGTATATGTGTGTGTGTGTGTGTGTGTGTGTGTGTGTGTGTATGTGTGTGTGTGTGTGTGTGTGTGTGTATGTGTGTGTGGTGTACTGGCATGGAGGTGGTGACAAGTACATGTAACTGTTTTGAGGCTAGCGGATGAAAACAGCGGCCGAGAAGTTTATGAGGCCTTCCATGTCGTCGGACCGCTTTATGGGGCGAAACTGCTTTGCCTGTGTGATCAGTTCCCCAACCACCAATTTCGGACGACCAAAGCGTTGCTCCAATGTCCTCAAGGCTAGTTCCACGTTATCCGGTATAGCTAGCATTAGCCTTACAGCCTCTTTTGCTGGTTCCTTCAGGCATGTTTTCAGTCTGTGTGCATTCTCTGCATTGCTGTAGCTGCACTCGGTAGTTGTGGAACGGAACGCTGCGATGAATGCGGGCCATTCGTCTGGACTGCCTGAGAACTTGGGCAAGGCAGTGCAGGTCGCCGATTGCCTTGCAGCGAATCGACTCAGCTCACCACGTTCCGAACCATTGCCGGTCCCCTGCTTACTGGCTTGTATTGCGCTGGCTATGGTTCCAGTGAATTCTGAAAGCAGGTGAGCCATATCAGGCGACTAGCAACCCTGCGTCTCGGTGTAACTAACACATTGCGGTTCGGGTTGCGTCAACGGCTGTTGTGATGTCCCTCCGAGGTTCCGCATCTCAGCGAATTCTGGGGCGTCACAATTGTTCTGCCCACCAACTCTATGCGCCAAGACTCCTTCCACTGCCAACTTTCTTTTCTCCTCTTGGGCATTTGCCAACATAGAGAGTACACTTCTTATTTCTGCTTCGGCTGCCTCTAGTTCCTCTTGGGTGTGTTCTCTGGCCAGGATTGTTTGCTCGAGCTGGCGACGCAGTTCCTCGTTGTCACCATGCAACCTCTGAGCGTCCTCCCTGGCCCGGCTCGCCAGCTTCAACTCACTACTCCATGTGTCCCTGTCCCGTTGCCATCTAAGGGCTTCATGGCGCTGTGCGTCTGCGTTCCTCTGCAGCCGCTCTACTTCAGTGTGTAAAGACCCGAGCTGCGTTTGGTAGGCCAGCTCCCGCAGTTGGTACTCACCTCGCTCATGAGCAAAGCTGGGAGTCCTTGATCCCTCCCTTCCAAGGCGTTCACTTGCAAATTCATTCGGCATATCGTAGTGGATCGCCCCGGTGTCTTCGCCAGCATGTCCTCTTGTAGTCTCCACCATAAATTGCTGCATGAGCGCCGGGGACGAAGACGGATCCAGTCGACCCTGGACTTCGCCTCTTCTTCTTCCAGTTCCTCTTCTACTAGTTTTGCCAAAGCCAGATTTGCCTCAGCAACAGCCGCTTCTGCGCTTGTAGCTTGGCCCTTCGCCATGCTGGGCTGCCACTGCTAGAGCTTCTTCTTTCTGTAGAAGCATTTCCCTCCGCAGGTGTGCTGCCCTTTCCAGCATCCATACTCTACGGTGGACACGTCTGCTGGCGATCCTTGTCCAGCCGAGCGCTTGAGCGTGTGCTCATCCGAACACTCCCGATCTTCATTGTATCAGAAGCAATGCGATCCGCCATCCTAGATCCGGCTCGAAGGGTGACTGTGTTGTCGCTGTAAGACCAGTGTTGGGAACTGTGTAGAGCAGAGTGATGTTTTGACCGGGATCAAACTGCCTTGCTGTTCATTCTTACATGGTAATGTAGTTACGTATGTTCAAGTTTGGTGGCTGATGATGCTGCTGCTGCTGCTGCTGATGATACTGCTGCTGCTGATGCGGCCTTGGCCTAGGTATGTAGCTAACCATGGGGCATGGCTACAGCCAATTAAGGACGGCTTGGTCCGATGCGGTCAGTGCGTGTGCGTATCATTGGTCACTCTACACACTACAGTCCGACCTCGCATAACCGCACACATCCGTTTTCTGCTAGAATATCCGGATTGGCGAGGGAAGTGGGTAATCGAACACACACACTGTATGTATGCATGGCATATGCTGTAAATCGGTAACCAACAATTTTCTTCCGGATGGCACTTGAAGGGATCCGGATAATAGAGGACTGGATAAGCAACCTGAGGTCTGACTGTATATTCAGCCTTTCTCAGTTAGCATAAAACATGGTGGGTAACTGAAAAGTTGCTGGCCAAATCCTGACGGGCCGGACCAATAATTATTCTCCCGGTGTCTTTGATGTTCATGCTGTGTTTTCTGCTGCTACTTCTACTGCTGCTGCTGCTTCTGCTGCTGTGTCTGGTGCTGGTGCTGCTGGTGCTGTTGCTGTTGTTGTTGCTGCTGCTGCTGCTGCTGCTGCTGCTGCTGTTGCTGTTACTACTGCTCCTGCTATTGCTACTATGGTGACAGTTGATGGACAGAAGTTCTCTGCAGGATCATGGTATGATGCAAGGTGTCAAGGACCATGTCTACAGCATCAGAAGGTAAGTGTTAATTGTAGCAATGACAGAAGTAGTATTTTCATCAACCACCGCATTGCTCTTGCTGCAAAAATGTTGGTCCCTCCAACCATAACCCATTGGTGATGAGACTGGTGGCTGATGTTCCACGGGACTCGAGATCGGCGGGGCTACTCTTCGTCGCCACATACATGTGCATGTAGTATCAATGTCTGACTGTGTTATTAGCTGTATCTCCCCGATACGATGTGCGACAAATGGCTTGTGGATGCGGCTACGATTACGAATCCAGCAGAGGCCATCCACACTATCACTCCCTAGATAATTAACTTGGAGGTCCGGATAGGAGAGATATGAGTGTATGAATGTAAGCATGCATTATGGGGTATACATACTGAACTGTACAATAGCTATCAGGACAGGCGCAAGCAGGTTTTGATTGGTCCAGCCATACCCTAGCCTTCCATACAGTTTGTGTATGATATAGTGGGTATGTATAACCTGCTCAGCAGTAAACATGCATTGCTGGCCACTAAGTTGGTCCGGTGATGACCTGACCAACCGAACCAGTTCCGTCGGACCCTGGCAATGATCATATACTAGTAGCAGTTAGTGGTGAGACCTGGACAACCTCAGCTATAGTGAGTGTGACTGTGATGTTTGCCTTGCCTTGCCTTGCCTCTGTAGATCAGTGAAGTCTGGATTACAGCAAGCCCAAGGGTAAGGCCAATCACGCATCAATGACATCATGCCGCATATCACACTCATTGTGATTTTTGGTCAGTGTTGCCATAGCTACATATCATGTGATACATCGAGTGTGTTGTCATGGCTGCAGTTGTGTTTGAAGTTCCTCGAGCATAATGTGTGTGTGTACATGTGTGCGTGTGTGTGTGCGTGCGTGCGCTTGCTTGCTCAATGTGTACTTGTATGAAAACAGTGGCCTACACGTTCCATCGTTTGGCAAGATCTTCGGCAGCAATAGCAACATCAATGATGGTAAATGTTGATGCAACCAGTACCCACACATGCATGCATAGTGGCACACAGTATGATACTGATTGTGTGGTCGATTTTTGACTGTGGAAGTTTGTTGTACCGGGGGGGGGGGTGTTGGCAAGGCCTTTTACTAGTTGGATGATAGGTAGGAGTATACCCGCGTCTGTTGGTGAGAGACATGTCTGTGTTTAGGTGGCACACACTGTACTCTACAATAGGGGAATTCCCCGAAAGACGTACTGTTAGTCGGCAAATTTTCGGCCCATTCAAATTTCGGCCTCCCAGGGCTAAAACAAATTTCGGCCGCAACAAACTGATTTCCGGCCTGTACTGCTGCTGACTGTATACACTGTCACACTGAATCTTGCAAAACAAGTTTTCGGCCAGATACGACCAAGCCGATAGTAAGTAGTTAGCTGAACATGTGTTGACTTACTGTATTAGGCTGTGTTTGTTAGTTTGAACTGCACGGGTAGCTACTTGTAAGTTGGGAGCCCGCAGGGAGAATTTTCATCCGATTTCCATGCTGTGTCAATGTTGACAGATGTACCGGTTGATGAACAGAACCTGCACCAGCACCAGCACCTGCTGCAAGCACAGCAGCAACAGCAGCAGCAGCATCAACTATCCCCACTGCGTGCCTCTGTGGCTGATAACCAGGACTGGGCTAGTCTTCTCTCTCAATTTCAAGAGGTACAGTGTGGGGTTTGCCAGTATTGGCCTTTGATGAAGGCGTATCCCCTATCATTAGTTAGATTGACAAGTATTGCTGGAAAGTAGCAGAGTCGCCGTTGTCCACCATTGTGGGTTTGTGATAAGCACAGCCATGTGCTGTATGTTAGAGCATTTGAGAATAGTGTGAGTGTAGTGGCATATTCACCCCTGCACAATAATTATTATCGTGTTAGTGTTAAGTTCACACTGTTTCCCCTAAACGTTTTCCACGTTCTCTACATTTTATACCATGCTCTTCATTGTATTCCTTATTGTGACGTATTTCCACTGTGACGATCATGACAAGAAAACGTTCTTGGAAACCTCTAACTTGCCCTGTGGTTATATGGTGCTGATATTGGTCTTAGAAACTGCTAACATCCTTCATGTCTGAATAACCTGGTTACAGACGAAAAGTCGAACGTCACAACTGGAGGACGCTCTGCAACAGGTTGCCACTCGACTTGTCGAGGCTGGCGACGGGCAAGAGAAACTGGAAGACACCTGCGCCAAGCTGAAGGTTAGTTGCTGAGCTCACATGCTGTCACTGTGTCGGTTCTTCGTGTGTCATTATAATTATAGTATGTACTTAAAGTATGTATACAGCCTCGGATACCAGTCACTATTCTTTCCGGGCCATCACGGCCTGGGAACTATGTCTTCTAGGTGAAACTTTGGAAGCATGTCCAATGACACATCTGCTAAGCTAGATTTCTGCCTGTGTGTTGTTGTGTTGTACCAGGCCGACATCGAAGGTATCTCTGCCGAGAAGAAGACGGTGGAAACTCAATTAGCAGCGTCACTGGAGCGAGTTAGTGTGAGTGAGACCGGATCATACGTCTGTGTGTATGTCTGTGTGCATGTGTGTTTGTGTATGTATGTGTGTGTGTGTGTGTGTGTGTGTGTATGTGTGTGTTTGTGTGTGTATGTGTGTGTGTGTGTATGTTTTTTTGTGTGTGTGTGTGTATGTGTTTGTGTGTGTGTTTGTGTGTGTGTGTGTGTGTGTGTGTGTGTGTGTATGTGTGTGTGTGTGGGGGGGGGGGGTGCATGCACGTTCATGTGCGTGTGTATGTGTGTAGGCGTGTGTGCACTTGCATGTGCACGGTTGCTTTTCCACGCGGCTGAGACTGGAGAAGTTGATGTGTGCTGTTCTTGCGTGTGCAGCGTCTTGAGGGAGAACTGAGCGAGTTGGCAGCTTCGTTTGACAACCGGGTAAGGTCCCTGTACTGTTGGCAATGTGTGTATCTGTCCATCTTACACTCTGGGCAAGGTCTAGGATCCGTCAGAACTTGTATGAATTGATTTTCGTATATAAAGGGATGTTCATAGCTGCTTTCTAGAAGACTTGAATCGAAATGGGCACTGTAGCACAATTAATGTCAATCATTTTGGGCACAATTTGTTCATAGCACTCACAGTTCCTTTTCCGAATGAAACTTTTGTGCTCCGATCTACACGCTCTTCTTGACACGACAAAGAGGAGAAGCGAAGTAAATAGTGAGCATCTGGTAACAACTTGAATATGACAGTCAGTGCCATCAACAGCACACAACTAAAATTCAATGGCCATTGCTGACGTAATTGTGGCTAACATCGTC